TATGGATTTTCTAGAAATAAAGTTATAAACGGAGAAAATTATATTGACCGGGTTAAATGACTACTTTCCCTTCGCTTTCTAGTTTAATAAGAATTGGATATCTTCATTTTTTTCAATCACAAAGTGATGTCATGTCATGTTTGTTTTTACTTTTATTTCATTTTCAGAATTTGAAATCAAAACCCTGAAGGGCTTAGAGCAAGCAAAACCCAAGTTCATCACAATTCATCTATTATTTTCCAAATAATAAAGAAAATTGATGTGCAACAAACAGTGGATGCAGAGGATAATGACGATAATGAACTCCCAGTGCTTCCATTCAAAACGATGATGCAGCTAGAAGGAGTTGAAAATGCATTGAAGGTCGACACTACAAAGAACCTCTTGGTCAGTAACTCGCTTTTCTATTTCCGACATTTTTGCAGATTTTAATGTTTGAAATATTGTTATAATTTTTTTTTCTCCCGTGGCTTTATAGGCCACATCAGCTATTGTTAACCCATGACGTCCATCGTCGTAGTTATTTTATCACAAAATCTACTTCTTTGAGTCATTTGTACATTTGAACCAATTTCATCCTTACTATACATGGACGGGTCTTAAACCACCTTTTCGTATTCCGGAAACAGTGTTATTTTTCAGGAAAGATTTTTTTTTAATCGAAATATTAAGATGACTTCATATGGGTATTTTTGCACCTGAATAGTGATTGTAAACCAGTTTTAGCCTCTTTTTTTCCGGCCCCATGAATAAGTATTGTCATTTTAGTACTGAAAACAAAACTATTCGCTTCCGCTAATCTAACAATGATTATCATTTTTAAAGTAACCAATAATTATGCTTAGAATGAATATTTTCTGTATTTTAAACCACATGTCGTCTTGAACATGCATGAAATATTTGCCACTGGACGTTAAGCAACCAGCAATTAATCAATCAAATCACATATGAAAGTAAAAAAAAGTGGTTTGATTGACACTGAGACTACTACCTAGTAGAGACCAATTGATATTAGTAACTGTAGATAACCGTATGGCCTTCAACAATGAAAAAAAAAACACATAGCGTATAGCAAGCTATAAAAGGTCCTATATCGGCATCAGTATTTTCCCTCAACTCATATATTTTAGAATGGTTGTCCTTGAAAGATACCAAGAACAATGTAAAAATGTCATATTATTAACTGTAGGTACGTGTATCTCTTAGTTGTTTGCTATTGTTTTTATGTTTATCTAAATCTAGCATTATATGATTATGTTGCAGATCAAACATATGAGTGGAATTCCAAAGTTACAGATATATAACCAGATTCAATTGTTCCTATTAACTTATTGCATTATCCGAATAAGTAAGAATGAAAGAAGTAAATAGCAGCAAGATTTCCATAATCCAGTACCTTGTACGTCTGCATCATTTGTGATAGAGTTTAGTGGAAATTTAACATCATTGTTCATTTTAGATTTTACTTAGTTTTAAATTTCTCCAACTTGTGTGATGATTTTGGATTAGGTTCTCACCTTCTTTGCTAAATAATGAGTTATGCAGTTTGCAATATTACATTAGGTTGTAAGACTCCATACGTTAACGAATTTTACAGTTTTTATCATTTATGGCATCCATAAAATATTTTGCTTTTGTTAACAAATTAATGTTTCCTATGTTTTGTTTTAAAAGCATTCATTAGTAGTCATTCAAATATGGGTGTTATTGACTAAGGATAAAATTCAGAGTTTGTATGTGCATGCATTCAATGAATTGCACATAACATTGTTTTGAATAAACAACCGGTCACAGCCTAAATAATAATTAAATTAACTTAATATATTTATTTTAGTTTAATACAATATAAGTTTAGTTTTGCTGTTCGTGTTGTATCTATTGCAATGAACTTAAATTGTGAATGGAAATGGGGAATGTGTCAAAGAGACAACAACCCGATCATCGAACAGATCCACTACAAGATGTTCAACCCAGGATTGAAAAAATACTACTGGGCTTATATAGATTTTAATAGGCCAACTAAATGTGCTTTTAAAAGAAAAAATAAAATAAATGAGTAACAAGCCTGGGGATGCAACATTTAATTGTGAGGATGACAAACATCATAAAGAGATGATTTTTGTTTTATCTATTTCATATTTACGGAAGAGTTGTTTGTAATTATTGATTATTATCAAATTTTACATTGATAATTTGTTTCATGATATCATTGTATGTTATATATATTTGCATTACGGTAAGCTTGCAAAATGTATATCTTAAGAACTTATTTTTTTTTTTGTAGTTGTGAAGCATTGGGCAATCTAGTGAACGAGAACAATAGAAAATTCACCCTTATAAAAAGTTGAGAAAGTCAATAATAAAACAGTGCAGGTGACGCAATTATGTCTGCTTAGTGCAGACAGTCGGCAAGAAAAAGCAAACTACACCAATAACTGTCAGCTTCTGCAAGAAAGTCAACAAAAGGCTAACAACTATATTGGTACCTGTACCACAGTTAAACAACAACTACTTCTGTTACAAATTGGGGCTACATAGTATTGCTATTTACCACATCAGACTTCTTCAACCGAATGTTAATTACAACTGCAGGGGTATACACCACTACAAGTACAGATGATACTACGTATTCTTTTACATTTTAACTCTGGAACCAGTCGAGATCATTCATTAGTAATGTTGCCTTATTCAGTCTTTTTAAATAACTAATGTTAGCATGCACACTATATAACTTTTAATGTTTCCAGATGAGGTACATCTGTTATTGCAAGAAATTATATATATATATATATATTTAAAAAAACACAAATCTCAATACATAACATAATTGCAAAAAGTTAAACCCTGAGGGTGAAAACATAATAGACATGTACACAAGAAACATTTAATACATGAAAAAAGTTCTAAACGAGTCGATTTAATATTAATAATATACATTTGTATTTATAAGTATATAGATAATCATGATAATTGACCAATGTGGACATTATTTTCGCAACTCCATTGATTGCTTGTATAATATAGCCACAACACTAGACTGAATATTTTTATTGGGATCTGAAATAGTTTACATTTTGAGAAAAGCTGGTTAAAATTATGATAATGGGTTTTAATTGTATTTATAATGGGATTTTTAATATTACTGCTGATTTGGCAATGAAGAAAAAGTGTTCCTCAGCATCTCAAACTTTGCAAACTTTACACTCTCTATGTTCTCTTGGAATTTTCTTATATCGACCAAAGGTGGTTTTGTTGCTCATGCAAAGGTAATTGGTAAGTATATATTTTCAACTACAGAAGATTGGTATAAAAATATATGTATGATTAATTATCTAGCTTGTATAGAATAAGTTACATAAAAATGATCTTTAACTTTTCAGTTATTGACGCCACTTTATACTTTAAGTTTGACATGTTTTGATTATTGGCTAATGTATTTGGCACACAGCTTGGCAGCGACCCCCCCCCCCCCCCCCCCCCCCTTCCCCCCAATTAATGGCGGTTGACAGTGTAACCAAGGTCTGGTTTCAATGTCAATTTGGCATAATTCGCTGCATTAAAATTTTGTGTGATGTTGGATTAATGTCTAATAATTCAATCCTTCTATAATATTTGTTGTCCTATTCGCCGATTTCTGACATACACATATTTACTTGCCACATTTTCTAGACTCTGGACGATTCAGAGTTAGAAATATTGCAGAGACACCTGTAGATTCTTAAATTCTGTATATGTATGATGAAGACTAGATGCCGTTATTTTATTGCTGGGTTGCTGTTTCATTGACGTACACTCGCATCTCATTTTCTTCATATTTTATTGCTGGGTTGCTGTCTCATTGACCTACACCCACGTCTCAATTTTTTCATATTTTATTGCTGGGTTGCTGTCTCATTGACCTACACCCACATCTCCTTTTCTTCATATATAAAGAGGTAACCTAGAAATGTTTGACTTGATTCGCTCCACTGTATTATTTGGTGACAACCACTGCTGGTACTCGGGTAATCTTTATTTGTTCAATGTTTCAACTTTTACTCATACCGAGGTATTGAACATGATCTACATCGGCTTTATGGTTTATATATACAGGAATAAATATCAGTATGATCACATTTTGTGCATCTTGTGCATATCATTTTTGTCTCGCCTGCGTCAAAAGTCGCAGTATACGAGACATAGTGATTTTTATCCGGCGGAGGCGGCGGCGTAAATTATTTGTATAAAGTTGTATATTTCAAAAAGGTAGAAGACCTGGATGCTTCTACTTGTATGCAGATACCTTAAGCTACGAAGTTTCCATGTCATATGTCCATCGTCCTCGACGATGACTCCTTGACCTCATTTTTTTCATTATTCAGCTATTGCTTGAAAAAAAAAACCAATAGTTTTTTTTGTCATGTGAATTTCATTATAAGTAATAGGTTAACTATGTTTTCTTTATGGGCTCATTGCAACTGCTACATGTCCGACAGACAGGGTTCACATGACCTCGACCTCATTTCATTGATTCAGTGATCAAGGTTCAAGTTACGTAATTAGGTCCGTGTCTCTGATACTTTAAGCAGTAGTTCAACTATATGTGGTGTATGGAATGATTGTAAGGGATACATGTCTGTCTGGCAAGTTTCATCTGACCTTGACCTCATTTTCATGGTTCATTTGTCAATGTCAAGATTTAGTGTTTAGGTCTATTTTTGAAATACTAATATCAATAGGTCAGCTATTATATTTTGGTGTATGGAATAACTGTAAGGTGTCCATGCTTTCTTGCAGGCATCGTCTGACCTTGACCTCATGTTCATGGTTCATTGGTCAATGTTAAGTTTTTGTGTTTTGGTCTGTTTTTTTAAATATTTATAGCAATAGTTCAGCTATACTAGGTGTATGGAATAATTGTATGGTGTACCTGCCTGTCTGACAGGATTAATATGGCCTTGACCTCATTGTCATGGATCTTTATAAATGTTTAAGTTTGTATGATACTTGTAGTAAAACCATTATCATTAAGACTTTTAATATAAAATCAATGGTCAGTAAAGTAGGCGAGACATTTCAGAGTGTGCACTCTTGCTTCGAATACAGTACATCTGATACGACTTTCGTTTATTACCATTTAGGTTGCTATCATTACTGATTTTAGTTCCATTTTTAATTTTTCTCGTTTTTTAACAATGTTGTATGTTCATTCACTGTTGCATCTAAAATGGCAGATTTTGTCTTGGTTTCCTGAAAGTTAAAATAAAATGTTAAATCATTCATGCAAACAGGTGCAACTCTATTTAGTTAACTTAAATAAGGATGTCAATACGTTTTTGGAGTTCAATAGTTCATCCCTGATTTAACAGGAAGTTAATGTTACACCTTTAGAGTACAATTGATCAACTAGAGTCGAATAGTTCAGTTTTAGTACAATAGTTCAACCCTAGTTCATGTAAGATCCGTGTAGCTTTTTTTGAAATTTCGATTTCAGATTTCGATAGGTTTTATTTGTCGTGCAAAGAAAAAAACCTGTCCTAGCTCACTTTTTTATTTTGTTAAAATAGCTGAAATTTAGATATAAGGGATAGCTCTTTTCCAGAAAGTTGTATAACGTTGGCATTTTTTCATTACGCAATTATTCAGTTAAGTCTTAACTCATATCTTGACTAACAACTAGAAATTGTCGGTTGAGAACAAAACTTTACACTAAAAGAGATGATTTTAGCTTCCCAACTGTAAACTTTCCATTTCTATGTAACAACCTTACAGCAGCGCCTGCATATAGAGTAAATATCTCCCAGCTGACACGATATTCCAGAACTTGCATTTCCTGTCATGATTTCCTTGATAGAGGGTTGCTGCATAATTACAAGGGAAGCTAATAAACTAAGAGTTATAAGTTCTGAAATTGCAGTCATTCCTTCGAAAATGTTACGAATGCCATCATTATTGAATATCTGTTTTACAGATGACGAAGAAATCGGATATGTTTCAATTGTCGTAACCACAATTCCGTCCTCTTTTCTTCGAATAATACCTACCGAATTAGACGAAATACCAAAGTTGTACTTACACGAGCAACACGACGTATGTGGAGCAGGATCTGCGTACCCTTTCAAAGCGTTTAAGAATCTGCGATTCGTTCTGTGCAGTCTTTAGTTTTTGCCGGGGTTCGTACTGTGCAGTCTTTAGTTTTTGGCGGGGTTCGTACTATACAGTCTTTAGTTTTTGTCGGGGTTCGTACTGTACAGTCTTTAGTTTTTGGCGGGGTTCGTACTGTACAGTCTTTAGTTTTTGACGGGGTTCGTACAATAGTCTTTAGTTTTTGGCGGAGTTCGTACTGTACAGTCTTTAGTTTTTGGCGGGGTTCGTACTGTGCAGTCTTTAGCTTTTTGGCGGAGTTCGTACTGTGCAGTCTTTAGTTTTTGGCGGGGTTCGTACTGTGCAGTCTTTAGTTTTTGGAGGGATTCGTACTGTGAAGTCTTTAGTTTTTAGCGGGGTTCGTACTGTACAGTGTTTAGTTTTTGGCGGGGTTCGTCCTGTACAGTCTTTAATTTTTGGCGGGGTTCGTATTGTTCAGTGTTTAGTTTTTGGCGGGGTTCGTACTGTGCAGTGTTTAGTTTTCTATGTTGTGTTTTGTTGACTGTTGTTTAGTTGTTTTTCGAATTTTGCTATGGCATTGTCAGTTCGTTCTCGATATATGAGTTAAAATATCCTTTTGATATCTTCCGCCTCTCTTTATTTGGCTCCAAAGTTTAATCAGATATAACTGAAACATCTACAAGGGAAGGTACTGTTTTACTGTTTTACAGGCGCCTTAAATTCATATAGTATAACTGACATATGTAGCCGCTTTCTTCATAAATAAAATCATTACAATTTTGCTGTTTGTTACATGATTTATGTAACCTTTAATCCTCTCATAGCACTAATGGCTTTTGCTAAAATTACCTATCATGAGCCTCAAATATTACTTTTGGTATTTGCTAGGGGTTACTTTTTCGGAGCCTTTCAAATCACTCACAGGTTTTGCTATGAAATACCTTCCGGAACGTCTCATATCACTCACAGGTTTTGCTATGAAATACATTTCCGCAACGTCTCTATCACTCACAGGTTTTACTATGAAAAACCTTTCCAGAACATCTCATATCACTCACATGTTTTGCTTTGAAGTACCTTTCCGGAATGTCTCATATCACTCACAGGTTTTCCGGAACGTCTTATATCACTCACAGGTTAAGCTATGAAAGACCTTTCCGAAACGTCTCATTCACTCACAGGTTTTGCTAACCTTTCCGCAACGTCTCATATCACTCACGGGTTTTGCTATGAAATACCTTTCTGGAACGTCTCATATCACTAACGGGTTTCGCAAGGAGATAATTTTTAAATATTTTAAAGACCAATATTGTTTGATGTTTTCATGTCGGATATTTTTTGATAGAAGCACCACTTTTCTTTATACACACCATGTATATAGATGAAATACTTGTACTTTGTTTTGATTATAATTTATAATTAACCCCAAAAAAATACAGTGTATATAGATGATGTTCTTGTTTAACGTAATCCTAAATAACATTATAGTTTCAATAAACTTGTACCCTTAACAAATGTCGGTTTGTAGTTTACTGTTTGGTTTATTTATTTGAAACTGGTATAGATTCGGAACGATTTAGAGTATAACATATAGTTTAAATACATTGCCTTAATTTGAAGACGGTAAATTAATGTCTATATTCTTCTTGTTGGATTGTTGTCCTAAATGATGTAAACAGTTAAGTACTTGTTGTTCAAAATTATACTCACATGTTTAAAAGCTTTGATTTTTATCCGTAAACAATAACCAGAAACCAGCAATAGTAACACTATGCCAACCCCGATACAACCATACTTTGCATAAAACACAATTTGTAAAGGATTTTGTAGTTCATCTCTGAATTCCGCAGCTAAACTATCCGTTAGTGAAGCTTTCTACAAAGGAACATATATACAGTATTCAATAAAGTGTTCTTTATAAAGTACTATAGATACAGTATTCAATAAAGTGTTCTCAATAAAGGAATATAGATATATGCAGTATTCAATAAAGTGTTCTTTATAAAGGAATATAGATATATGCAGTATTCAATAAAGTGTTCTCTATAAAGGAATATAGATATATGCAGTATTCAATAAAGTGTTCTCTATAAAGGAATATTATAGATATATGCAGTATTCAATAAAGTGTTCTCTATAAAGGAATATTATAGATATATGCAGTATTCAATAAAGTGTTCTCTATAAAGGAATATTATAGATATATGCAGTATTCAATAAAGTGTTCTCTATAAAGGAATATTATAGATATATGCAGTATTCAATAAAGTGTTCTCTATAAAGGACTATTATAGATATATGCAGTATTCAATATAGTACTTTATACAAAGAACTATAGATATATACAGTATTATCGTCCTGAACATGCATGATATTTCCCATTGAACAATAAGACTAAGCAACCAACAATCAATCAGTACAGTATTCAATATAGTGCTCTTTATAAAGGACTATTATAATTGAGTAATGTCCCTTGATATGTTAAGGCGTATCGTGCATTACTCTATATAAGAAGTGATTTAATTTGATGTTAAAAGCCGAAAATGAACGCCGAAGTAGAAACATTAAACAATATGCAGAAAATTTGACTCAGGATTGCCTTAAACGGCTTGTAGAAGGTGTACAGGGTACTGATACATTTACATTACAAAATGAAGTGACCGTCAGCACAGATGTAATCAACAGGTCAGGAATAACCATTAATTGGTGGATTATACCTCAATTCAGGTATAATCCACCATTTGACATATAATGAGATACACTTATTAAGGTATAATGCAGTTTTTATCCACAAAAATTTTTAAGAGATATTGGAGCATCTTTTTTGCATTTACCATACCAAGCTTTGACCACTTAGTGATGACATGTAATTGATTCTGACACTCCGTGCTGCATTTTGTTAGAGAAACCCCAAAACTAATACGACCTTTCTTTTCCTACTTATAAATTTTGAGTTTTCATCTCTTAAATCTTATTTTTGTCCTGTAGTCTCTTCCTGTCCATTTCGACTTACAAATCTTAAAGTTTGAACTGATGCAGACTTAAGGAAACCAGTCCTGAATATCCATCAATTAGTGGATTATACCTCAATCAATGTATAATCAACACTTTCACAAAACGCAGCACAAGAAGTCAGAAGCAATTACAAGTCACCAATGAGAATTCATCAAAGCTTAAGATGGTACATGCAAAAAGATGCTTGAATATCTCTTTAAAAAATGATGTAATGAAAACGGCATTATACCACATTTGGTCTATCTCACTATATATCAAATGGTGAATTATACCTGAATTGAGGTATAATCCATCAATTAATGATAACTCCTGACCTGTTCAACACTTGATAAACTTCATTACTTGGAACAAAAGATGCAAGGTAGTGTAGAAGTGTTCAATGCACAAATGAACTATATACCGGTTGAAATTTTGTTTGTATTTAGTAAATTTGAAATTCTTGAACATACAATTGCATACACAAAAAAACTGGCAAACCTTTGTGTTTCGAACTGTCACAAAAATACTCCATTGTAAAACTTAATCGAATGCACGATGTTTTGATAATTAAAATATCTGATAGATTTCATACACAATCAAAAGCACGTAATTCATACAGTGAATGTATAATGTTCATGTATGTCTTTTTTCCGAAATTAGCACATTATTTAAATCAGTATATATATATGTATCAACATGTATTAAAGGTACACAATATACCCGTGGTTTAGTAGTGTAACAATAATTATGTGGACTTCACAACAGGGGATAAATACTGGTAAATATTATAGGTTTTTATGTTTGTTATAGAACATTGTGTAAAATATGATTTGAGTAAAACGATATATACTTATTTCAATCTTTTAGCAAATATGAGGTGTAGAGTTAATATATACAGTCCGTCAAAAGTTAAGCACCACCTATTTTTATTGCATCGAAATTTTTTTCATTTTAAAAAAATCAGTTATTCCTCGAAAAAGAGAAAACATTCAAGTAGCAATTTTGCTAACATATACCATAAACATAAACTTAAGTTAGGTCACTTATGCAGGTTCTTTGCATTTAAATTTTGCGTTCATAGAAATAGTGCAAATTACACAAATCAGAAACGAAATTCAAGTTTCACTGTGATTTTATTTTTTTACAACAATTATTCACCCAATATCATTAATAAAATTCTCTACAAATAATCTTTGGTATGTTCGGCAAATTTAATGTCAATATTTGAGTCAATAGGATGTGTAACCACCTCTCTTCCGGTACAGTTCCATAACACGGCGTCTCATACTCTGTAGAAGCCTTCTGAACTTCAGTTGAGGAAATGTATTCCATTCATCAACAATTGCCACTCTTAAATGGCCAAGATTTTGCAAAGGTGGATCTCTGCGATTGAGATTTCTGCCAATGGCATCCCAGACATGTTCGATAGGGTTCATGTCTGGAGACATGGAAGGCCAAAAGATAGTGTCAATGGCTTCTTGCTCTTTATACTCGGTTACAATCCTTTCCTTGTGTGGTCTAGCGTTGTCGTCCATGTACAAGGGTCTTGACGCAAGTGGGTGATTATCAAAATGAGGGACTACAATGTTTCTAAGCACCAAATCCCTGTATGTCTGTCCGTTCATGTAACCCTGCCGAATATGCATACCCAGCTTACAACGGTATGAGAAGCAACCCCATACTGTAACACCACCAGCACCAAATGCAGTCGTTGGGCAAATATTCTGCCGTCTACTGGTCGTAACAGAAACCGACTCCCATCTGACCAATGAATTTTTTGCCAGCTTCTCATGTTCCAGCGTCGATGGTCATTTGCCCATTGAAACCTGATTATACGGTGCCTGGCTGTTACATGTAGGGCAGGTCTCTTGACAACACGACGTGCTCTTAGGATGCCTCTATGAAGTCGACGGACCAATGTTCGAACACTAACACGACCACCTGGAGGCCAGTGGTGTCTAAGCTGCGGGGCAGGAGTAAATCGGTTGGCTTTAGCACGACGAATAATCAGTCTGTCAGCACGACGGGTAGTTAAACTGGGTCTTCCGGACCTTGGTCTATCATTTACAGTTCCTGTGTCAACATGACGTCGTAAAAGTCTGACAATGACGGTGTGATTAAATTGAAATGGTTGCTTATGCTCCTAGTGCTCCTACCGGCATTTGACATGTCAATTGCTTGCCAACGTTCAGCCACAGTTAACTTACGCCTTGCCAGATTTCTTGCTGTTGTGCAATAATTTGCTGTTACGCAATACTTAGTAAATCTGTTTACAAACTAAATATAATAATTTACACACCCTGTTTGGTGTGTATCTTCTGCCATATCATTATTTGTTGTTTCTTTATATAGATCAGAAATAATTTATGTTAGAACCAGCTTAGCCAGTATTAGAAAAGTTTTGTTTTTGGCCCCTATTTGATCTCTAGTTTCTTAACGATTTAAGCCACAACCAAAAAATCGACCCCAACCTTCTGTGTGTAGTATGGAACCTTGTAGTACAATTTCATATCGATCCATTGACTAATACTCAAGTATTTGTCCGGAAACCAGAAAAACCTTGTTTCCCCCCTTTTTGCCCCTTATTCCTGAACGGTTTGAGTCAAACCCAACCTTTCCTTTGTGGTATGAAACCTTATGTTTCAATTTCATAGAGATCCATAGACTAAAACTAAAGTAATTGTCCATTAACCAGAAAAACCTTGTTTCCCCCCCTTTTTGCCCCTAATTCCTGAACGGTTTGTGCCATAACCCCCAAAGTAAATCCCAACCTTCCGTTTGTGGTATGGAACCTTGTGGTACAATTTCATAGAGATCCAAACACTTATACACAAGTTATTGTCCGAAAACTTAAAAAATGCCTTTTTTGGCGCCCTTTTGACCCCTAATTCCTAAACAGTTTAGACCATAACCCCCAAAATCAATCCCAACCTTCCTTTTGTGTTATTAAACCTTGTGATTAAATTTCATAGAGATCCATTCACTTATACTGAAGTTATTGTCCGGAAACCAAATGTCTTCGGACGACAACGACATGATAGCAATATACGAACGCAAATTTTTTGCGGTCGTATAAAAATCAAAATTGAAAGTAAAAACATTACTTACTTCTTTTATATACATAACAGGAAAGTAAAAGTAGTTTATATTCTTTGTTTGGCTGAAATAAAAGTAAGAACTTTTATATATTTTGCATACTAGCGAACCAAAAATTACCGATACAAACTCAATACATTAGTTTAAAAGTGACATTTTCATCTTAAACATCCAAGTCCGGTAATTTCGATTGTCCAATAACCAGTGTTAATATAATAACCTCATTGACAAACAAATCAAACAAATGGATAATTTGATGAATCTTTTGTTATATACGTTCTTTAGTAAAACATAAATTGAAATCTAAGACGTCACTGAGTTGATGTGAATAAGTCTGATTTGAATATTTAGAAAAATCTGGATAATCCTTCGTCGAAAATGTCGTCTTAATATTCTTAGCTATCCTATTTAACAACCTCAGGGGCATTTGAAACTTCAGTGGCGGATCCAGAATTTTTCATAAGTGGCAGCCCACTGACTGCCTAAGAGGGGGCCCGCTCCAGTCATGCTTCAGTGATTCCCTATATAATCCACCAAATTTTTCCCAAAAAAGGGGGGGGGGGGGGGCGGGCCCCCTGGAAAACCCTCTAAATCCGCCTCTGAACTAAATGGTATATGAATCCTCTCGGTAAACTCTAAATTCATCCAAAACCTCTGAGGTGTTAGGCACTTATTTGTATAAGTATCTTCTCAGTAGACTGTAAATATAATCACAAACTCTCGGGCATAGGAACTTAATGATACATAGATACGTGTATGCCTACCAGATATACATAGATTAATGTATTTTTACCTGATATACCAGTGGCGGATCCAGGGGGGGGGGGGGGGGGTTCCGGGGGTTGGAACCCCCTTTTTTGACAATCAATACATTTGAATGGGGACATATAGTTGGAACCCCCCTTTATCTTGGGTTGGGAACCCCCCCCCCCCCCCCCCTTTTAAAAATGGCTGGATCCGCCCCTGTATACATAGATGATTGGCTTACCTGATACACATAGATGATTGGCTTACCTGATACACATAGATGATTGTATTTTAACCTGATATTCATAGATGATTGTATTTTTTACAATTTTCATGTCGGAGCCTTTTATAGCCAACTATACGGGTTGGCTTTTACTCATTGTTGAAGGCCGTACGGTTGCATACAACTGCTTGCATCTATCCACATTATTGGATCTCTAGTGGATAGTTGTCTCATTGGCAATCATACCACATCTCCTTATTTTAACATAGATGATTGTTTCTTACCTGATATACATAGATTTTTCTAAAAACATGTTGATCTGAATTGTTCTTTGAGTTCTAACTAAATTTCCTATCAACTGAAAAATAGAACATTATATAAATAACACATAGCTGAGAGGGTGATAGAGCAGATTGTTACCCCGAGAAAACATTGTCAACTGAGGCGAAGCCAAGGTTGACAATGTCTTTTCGAGGGGTAACAATCTGCTCTATCACCCTCTCAGATATGTGTTATTTAATTTATTATACTGAATGTTCTGTTATTACTGTCTATTAAATATCAAATTCAAAGAAATAAACTGTGACGTCTTGTACATATCATCCGTATTTATTAAAGCGCACTTGATCAAGCGTCTCCGTGAAGGGTAATAGAGTGTTTGCCATGGGATAGAGTAAATTGTCTCCCTCGTATTAACCAATCAAAATCTGGCATTTTGACATGAAGTATAATAAATTTGTTTGACATTCAGAATGATCCAAACAGTCCAATACAAAAATCAAAGTACTGAAGTACTGAAATTCGGGTGACCACAAGTTCTTGAGGATGGTCAAAAGCACTTGTCTCAGAAAAAAACAACATATCTCTTTACCTGAAACTGAGGTTAATGTACAGAGATATATTTTTTTCTGAGACAAGTCGTGCGTGGATGATGAATAAATGACAGGAAATTCAACTTCACCGTAATAACTATTATATTGTAGTGATACAAATCAGTATACACTGATTTGTTGTTATCTATTATATTAAAATAACAGTTACATATATATATAATTTGCATCCATTTGTATATCAGTCTATTCTACTATTCTAATAATAGTGCAATGCAAGTGCATGGTGGACACTTTTCTGTAAAAATTCGATTTTTCTAAGATTGGATACGAGTAGGCATTCATATTTTCCCGCAAAAACAATTATAGAGTTACCGGTCCTTGCCGGTATTGTCGCAAAACGTTCTTTGAGATATTCTTCCGCATGCTTTAACACAATTTTTCGGTACGTGTGCATTGATATTATCAATGATTTTTTACTTATATATATATATCTAACTACAAAACATTTTCATATTATTAATTTATGTTGTAAACAAAAATATTTTTATCAGTATTCATTGAAGAGATGTATGTATATCAAACGATAAGGAATGTTATTTTGCACTCGTTTATGTGCGCATATTTATCATGTTTATAGATCGGTTACAAACCCAAAACTAATTTACATAATGGAAATCTAGGCGATAGCAATACATCGGAATGACCTCAAGGTCAACGCGATGTAATTATGTTCGTTAGATTTTTATCATTTCTCGTGTTTGCTGTATTTTCTCTTCTTTATTTTTCTCGTTTCTCATTTGACTCGTATGAGAAGTGCGTGTTACATAGCGACATTACCGGTACCAGATCGATGATTGTGTATGAGAAGTGAGTGTTACATGAAGACTTTACCGGTACCAGATCGATGTAAGTTTCATGCAGATCTTTGTTTGGACGAATGCCATCAAAGGAATCTATAACTCTCTGGTCAGCCCCTAAAAAGTGTGGCTGTGATATAATGACTGGAGTACCTGTAAAGACAGTTGAACATTTATCATTGACGAAATATGTTATTAAAAATACAGGACTATACTACTGAATGTCGTTTGATGTGTTTGAGCTTTGGTTTTGCCAATTGTTAAGGGACTTTCCGTTTTGAATTTTGCTTGGAGTTTGGTATTTTTGTTGTTTCACTTTCTACGTGACAAACGATGTTAAACACTCTCTGATGATATGTTACAGTATTAACTATGTTATTTTCATTTCAGTCCGTTGTTTTAAAGAAATTTGCAGAACTATTTGTTTTCTATTGAAAACGCAAAATGTATTATTAGTAACACACAGTAACTGTTGTCAGGTTGGAATTATGGTATAACACCTATCTATGCATCGGTCTTGCTATAAAGAGTGACAGAACTATCGTCCTCTCTGATAAAGAGTGAGTGACAGAGTGATCCTCTTTGCTCATTTTGAATGCTAGATGTAAATAAACTCCTCAATATGAAATAAGACGATAAAAAATAAAAGATAACCATGGTGATATCAGTTCTTCCACCTCTAAAATAATATAAGAATAGATGTGTTATAATTGCAAACAGAGACAGCATCGACATAGTCCAAATAAAGTGGATGTGAGTAATTATAGGTAACAGTTTACTGTACGGCCTTCAACATGATCAAAACACAATCGACCGAGTCCAAATAACGTGGATTGAGTAACTATGGGTAACAGCTTATTGTACGGCCTTCAACATGATCAAAACACATATCTGTTAATCAGTTAGCCCATAAAAGGTCACGACTTGACAAAATATGAAACATTTCAAACAAGTCAACAAACGTCAAGACTAAAAAGAAAACATATGACAGATAGCAGCGCTAGCTGACCACCGAATTACAGGCTCCAGACTTGGGACACATAGCAGCGCTAACCAACCACTGAATTACAGGCTCCAGACTTGGGACACATAGCAGCGCTAACCAACCACTGAATTACAGGCATCAGACTTGGGATAGACAACAGCGCTAACCAACCACTGAATTACAGGCTCCAGACTTGGGATAGGCAGCAGCGCTTACCAACCACTGAATTACAGGCTCCAGACTTGGGATAGACATCAGCGCTAACCAACCACTGAATTACAGGCTCCAGACTTGGGATAGACAGCAGCGCTAACCAACCACTAAATTACTGGCACAAGAATTAGGACAGACAACAGCGCTAACAAACCACTGATACCTGGCACAGGACTTTGGACAGCAGCGATAACCAACCACTGAATTACAGACTCCAGGCATGGGATAGACAGCAGTGCTAACCAACCACTAAATAACTGGCACAAGAATTAGGACAGACAACAGCGCTAACAAACCACTGATACCTGGCACAGGACTTTGGACAGACAGCAGCGCTAACCAATCGCCACCACTGAATTACAGGCACCAGACTTGGAACAGACAGCAGCACTAACCAACCGCTGAATTACAGACGCCAGATTTCGGACAGACACATAAAGAATGTGGCGGGGGGTAAACATTTTATGAGCGCTCAATCCTCCCTCTTTGATTTTACTCTTACTACCAATTTATTGAATTAATGTTTTTAATGTTTTTTTAGATATGGGAGCTGACCTTTGCGACATTCTGTGGTATTAAGTAGACCTGATGGTAAACAGTTATTCCGTGGTGTACAAAACCCTGCGTTCTCTGGGTTGGTTTTAACATTGTCGAATACTTTATCCTTCATGACAAAACGAGAATACCGAACTCCTTTGAATTCTCCCTTCCTTTCAAATGAAATCATATATGACCTGCAATTATAATAGAACAATATTATAGTGCTATGCCTACGATTGAAGGAAACATAATGCTTTCTGGTGGTTTGTGCGCCTATCCGTTTGTATATCCCATATCAAGTTAAAGTGTTGGTTTAAGGTTCATGTAGTTTACCATGAAGTTGTTGTCACATCAACTTGAAACTTCGTACTAATGTTCATTTTGATGTTAACTTTTTAAAAATATATGTCAAATGAGGATGTTGATTTATGATTTCATGCTTCATTGAACAGTATATATGATACTAGTAGTGTATAATCAGTACAGTTTCAGGATTTTTTTTAAAATTTTTTTTTTGTTTGGGATGGGGAGGGGGGGGGGGGGGTGAATTAGTTTACCATAAATTTGTTGTCAGATATCAACTTCAACTTTGGACATATGTAAGTTTGTGGTGAGTTATTTAATATAAAAGAAGATCTAGGGTTTCGACCAATATTTTTCGCTTCAATGGATAAGGAAATGTGATAGAGCTATATGGACAAATATTCCACTAATAATGGCAAAGGATAAGAGATTAGAGAAAATATAGAAAAAATTGGCTAAATACTTCTTCAAAATTAAATTTGTACGGTTGTCCATATTTTCCCTCACCCCTTCTCCGGTTTGCAGTGAATAATGATGATCTTAATTAAAGGAGATAAACGTCCAATGATTTTATAGCTAAGCAACAACACGTCAAAACTAACCACACTTACACGTAGAGCTTAATGTAGCATCTTTAGTCAGAAAACTTTTGTATCTCCTTTCATTATATGCAAATATCTAGATGTAAGTTTACTCAATGAGACAGCTACCCGACGACAATCAAAACACGATACGTGATGCGGTTCCGCCTTTCACTGTGTTTTATCAATTCGCTTTTGTTTTGGCATGTTACTTAATGTAGTTAAAGAGTGTTCTGCTATCTAACAAAATATGAGAATATAATACACAGTTTATAACTTGAAAACGATGCCTATACTTTATATGATATTTGTTTTGAAAATATAAACCACATTTTTGCAAAGTATGAAAACATCGTATATCTTTATTCTACTTCCATACTATCTTAAAAGAAATACACGTGAACAAAAATTACCTGCACAGTTGAGGGTAAAATAGGTAAAGCTGGTCGTTGTCTTTGATATGTGGATGAAATATATTTCCATCTATAACATATAGTGTATATATAGCAATTAACAATGATAACGAAATAAAATATACCGTTTATAAAAGTCTTTGTTTTACATTCCTTGTAATAAGGCTTTATTAAATCTGTTTATAATTCAACAAGGAAACTTGGATTCAAGGAGAGGTTGATTGATTGTTGCTTGCATAACGTCCAGTGGCAAATATTCCATGCATATTCAGGACAGTTTTCTTCTCCTCATTATTGTGCAGGATTACTTTGACAAAAATATTAATATCTTTTCGATATCAGGTCATATCTATACTTAAAAGAACCAGAGTTTATGTAACAAATAAAATGGATATCTGGTCAGCTCTACTGAAAACAATCAGAAAATATAATGTTACCAATGATGGATATCTGGTTATTTTGACTAATACAACCAGAAAACATATGTTAAAATGACAACGGGTATGTTCCAATTGTCGTAACTACAATCCCGTCCCCTTTTCCCCGAATGTGACCTACCGATTAAGACTTATCACCGGGTTTGTACTAACATGAGCAACACGACGGGTGCCACATGTGGAGCAGGATCTACTTACCCTTCCGGAGCACCTGCCATCACCCCCAGTTTTTTGTGGGGTTCGTGTTGCTTAGTCTTTGGTTTGCTATGTTGGGTTTTGTGTACTGTTCTTTGCCTGTTAGTCTTTTTCATTTTTAGCCATAGCGTTGTCAGTTTATTTTCGACTTATAAGTTTGAATGTCCCTTTGGTATACTTCGCCTCTCTTTTAAAAATAATATTGGTATCTGGTTGGCTCTTGCAGAAATAACCAGAAAACATATTGTTGTATGATATATTGCTTCAAATTGGAAAAGTCGTATAAAGTTGTATGACTTATTGCTTCAAATGGGAAAAGTCGTCTAAAGTTGTATGACTTATTGCTTCAAATGGGAATAGTCGACTAAAGTAGTATGATTTATTGCTTCAAATGGGAATATCGTCTAAAGTAGTATGACTTATTTCTTCAAATGGGAATAGTCCTCTAAAATTGTATGACTTATTGCTTCAATAGGAATAGTCGTATAAAGTTGTATGACTTATTGCTTCAAATGGAAATAGTCGTCTAAAATTGTATGACTTATTGCTTCAATAGGAATAGTCGTCTAAAGTTGTATGACTTATTGCTTCAAATGGAAATAGTCGTCTAAAATTGTATGACTTATTGCTTCAATGGGAATAGTCGTATAAAATTGTATGACTTATTGCTTCAATGAGAATAGTCGTCTAAAGTTGTATGACTTATTGCTTCAAATGGGAATAGTCGTCTAAAGTTGTATGACTTATTGCTTCAAATGGAAATAGTCGTCTAAAGTTGTATGACTTATTGCTTCAAATTGGAATAGTCGTCTAAAGTAGTATGACTTATTGCTTCAAATGGGAAAAGTCGTCTAAAGTTGTATGACTTATTGCTTCAAATGGGAAAAGTCGACTAAAGTAGTATGACTTATTGCTTCAAATGGGAATAGTCGTCTAAAGTTGTATGACTTATTGATTCAAATGGAAATAGTCGTCTAAAGTTGTATGACTTATTGCTTCAAATGGGAAAAGTCGTCTAAAGTTGTATAACTTATTGCTTCAAATGTAAATAGTCGACTAAAGTAGTATGACTTATTGCTTCAAATGGGAATATCGTCTAAAGTAGTATGACTTATTTCTTCAAATGGGATAGTCGTATAAAATTGTTTGGCATATTGCTCAAATAAGAATAGTCGTCTAAAGTTGTACGATTTATTGCTTCAAATGGGAATTGTTGTCTAAAGTTGAATGACATAATGCTTCAAATGGGAATAGTCGTATAAAGTAATGTTACTTATTGCTTCAAATGGGAATAGTCGTATAAAGTAATATTACTTATTGCTTCAAATGGGAATAGTCGTATAAAGTAATATTACTTATTGCTTCAAATCGAAATAGTCGTCTACAATTGTATGACTTATTGCTTCAAATGGAAATAGTCGTCTTAAGTTGTATGACATATTGCTTCAAATGGGAATAGTCGTCTAAAGTTGTATGACTTATTGCTTCAAATGGGAATAGTCGTCAAAAATTGTATGACTTATTGCTTCAAATGGGAATAGTCGTCTAAAATTGTATGACTTATTGCTTCAATGGGAATAGTCGACTAAAGCTTTATGACTTATTGATTCAAATGGGAATAGTCGTATAAAATTGTTTGACATATTGCTTAAATGGGAAAAGTCGTCTAAAGTTGAATGACTTATTGCTTCAAATGGGAATAGACGTATAACATTGTTTGACTTATTGCTTAAATGGGAATAGTCGTCTAAAGTTGTATGACTTATTGCTTCAAATGGGAATAGTCGTCTAAAGTTGTATGACTTATTGCTTCAAATGGGAATATCGTCTAAAGTAGTATGACTTATTTCTTCAAATGGGATAGTCGTATAAAATTGTTTGGCATATTGCTTAAATGGGAATAGTCGTCTAATGTTGTATGACTTATTGCTTCAAATGGGAATAGTTGTCTAAAGTCGAATGACTTAATGCTTCAAATGGGAACAGTCGTATAAAGTAATGTTACTTATTGCTTCAAATGGGAATAGTCGTCTAAAGTAGTATCACTTATTGTTTCAAAAGGGAATAGTCGTCTAAAATTGTATGACTTATTGCTTCAAATGGGAATAGTCGTATAAAGTTGTATGACTTTTTGTTTCAAATGGGAATAGTCGTCTAAAGTAGTATGACTTATTGCTTCAATGGGAATAGTCGTCTAAAATTGTATGACTTATTGCTTCAATGGGAATAGTCGTATAAAGTTGTATGACTTATTGCTGCAAATGGGAATAGTCGTATAAAGTTGTATGACTTATTGCTTCAAATGGGAATAGTCGTCTAAAGTAGTATGACTTATTGCTTCAAATGGGAATAGTCGTCTAAAGTAGTATGACTTATTGCTTCAATGGGAATAGTCGTATAAAGTTGTATGACTTATTGCTGCAAATGTGAATAGTCGACTAAAGCTTTATGACTTATTGCTTCAAATGGGAATAGTCGTATAAAATTGTTTGACATATTGCTTAAATGGGAAAAGTCGTCTAAAGTTGTATGACTTATTGATTCAAATGGGAATAGTTGTATAAATTGTATGACTTATTGCTTCAAATTTGAATGGTCGTATAAAGTTGTATGACTTATTTGTTGACAGATGTATCCCAGTTCATCTTAAGACTAAAAGGATTTTTAAGCTTCAACATTTTTCAGGTTTTGTCTGAATGAAAACTGCCACGAGGATACATACAAATTATTAATGAACCTTAAAATGTGTGTTACCACAAGTCATTTTTCTTCTTTCATTTTCCATTTGTATTGTATATTTCTAAATTTCTTTCATTGTTATAAATTACTTACCCGTCCCATTTATCATGTTACAAGTATCAGTTGACCAAAATGTAAGTTTACTACAAGAGCACGTGAAACATGATTACTAACAACATTTATTTCTTAACAGTTTTCTGAAATATAAAAGGCCAAAACGCGAAATGTTCGTATTCATTCTTTCCTGAAACATATTATTATTATTGAATGTTTCGCACTTCCCCCTTTTTTGTAAAATTCTTGACTTCCCATGTTTGAACTGCAATACACTATATGAATGGAAAGAGATATAGGCTATACGTCAAGTAGAGTACCTGAACGACAGAAATAACACAAAGACATATACAATATATGTACATTGTCGGAAAATATCAAATTTATTTGGATAAGCTCTATTAGAAACAGGACGAAATATTCTCCTGTTTCGTAGAGAGTACAAATACATTTTACATTTCCGACAATGTACATATATTGTTTTTATTCTGCAATTTATACCCGGCACTTGAAGCTTTGGTTGTTTAAATGCAAATAGTTGTCTCTGATTTTTCATAGAAATCGAATAGTTTAAACGCGGACCGCGAAGAGAACCCCAAAATGAAATGTTAGGTAAAAAGAAATATTCACATTGCCGCTTGCTCCCAATTTTGCCCAATTTTTGACATTTTTACCTATAATGACTGTTTGTTTTGTTCACACATTGTTGTCAATATAATGGAATTTTATGCGACTGTCATAAAAGTGAGAGGTTTAGTAAGCTATAAAACCAGGTTTAATCCTCCATTTTCTACATAAGGAAATGACTGTACCAAGTTAGGAATATGACAGTTGTTTTCCATTCGTTTGATGTGTTTGAGCTTTTGGTTTTGCCATTTGTTAAGGAACTTCCTGTTTTGAATTTTCCTTGGAGTTCGGTATTTTTGTTATTTTACTTTTTGAGCAACATGGAAGCGGGGTAACATGATAATTTATTTGTACAATAGTTGTCTGATTGCAGGATAAAGAAGTTTATCTATACATTGGAATTCTGGTTTAAACACAAATTATGCAATTCTAAAATATGTTGTAAAAAAGTTAACGATTTTGGATTCACTAGTATATTGATTTTTATATTAAATTCATTATTTATTGAATATTATATAGTTAAAAGGACTCAGTCCACTAATATCAGGCAAGTGTTACCTGTGAAAGAAGACAAAGTCTGTATTATTTTCGTGATACTTTTTGGTAATCAAATATCGTAAGAGCTTTCAAACATCCGACATCATAGTAATGGGAAAGTGTAGCCGTTGTATGAAAAAAGTTCTGAATCACTAGATGATGTATATATTGATTTGTTTATTGATTTTTTTTTATTGATTTTTTTACTTTTATGAGACATTGTCTCCTCTTTAGCAATCTACCTATACATGACAACCTAGAATTGTCTAAATCAGATGATTACCGGAAATCGTCTACACGATTTGATTGAATATTCATAGTTGCTTCCCTCACATTCCTGGTTATTTCTCCTGATTGCTACCCTCACATTCCTGGTTGCTACCCTCACATTCCTGGTTGCTTCCCTCACATTCCTAGTTGCTTCCCTCACATTCCTAGTTGATATCCTAACATTCCTAGTTGCTTCCCTCACATTCCTGGTTGCTTCCCTCACATTCCTTGTTGTTTCCCTCACATTCCTGGTTGCTTCCCTCACATTCCTAGTTGTTTCCCTCACATTCCTTGTTGTTTCCCTCACTATCCTGATTACTTTCCTCACATTCCTGGTTGTTTCCCTCACATTCCTAGCTGCTTCCCTCACATTCCTAGTTGCTAACCTCACATTCCTGGTTGCTTACCTCACATTCCTGGTTGTTTCCCTCACATTCCTAGTTGTTTTCCTCACAATCCTGATTACTTTCCTCACATTCCTGGTTTTTTCCCTCACATTCCTAGTTGTTACCCTCACATTCCTAGTTGTTTTCCTCACAATCCTGATTACTTTCCTCACATTCCTGGTTTTTTCCCTCACATTCCTGGTTGTTTCCCTCACATTCCTAGTTGTTTTCCTCACAATCCTGATTACTTTCCTCACATTCCTGGTTTTTTCCCTCACATTCCTAGTTGTTACCCTCACATTCCTATTTGCTACCCTCACCTTCCTGGTTGCTTACCTCACATTCCTGGTTACTTTCCTCGCATTTTCGGTTGATTTCTTCGTATACCGGTTGCTTCCCTTAGATTCCTGGTTGTTTCTATTATTTTCTTAAATTCTAGTCATGGCTTATATGATTTAATAAAACAATTAAAGCCATCTTGGTCGATGGTATATCCACAATTGTCAACTGGTAAGGGTCCTCGGGCTAAATTTCTCGCAAAAACGACCCTTACACTTAACCATTTTAGAAGTTGGCCTCCTTAAAAAGCATTTATAATATAATGACTCCTGTGTGTATACTGTAACAATTTCCTTATGGGTAATCGTTTTCATGATTTCCAAGTATTGTAAAGAAACAAAATAGTTGAATTATTTATCTGTACATCTAAGAAATAGTATATCCTTACCTCATTCCATTCCACTGTGTAAATTTAGAGATTTTATTTAGGTTATCTTCACCAGTATATACTGTGTAATTGTTTGCTATAGAATTGTTCAGCTGCAATTTATTTTAAAATAATTTCAAAATTCAGCCTGACATTTATTTGTATGACTTCGAACATGCAAACAATATTAGGAGAAATACAACTTGTAAATATTTCAAAATGTCATATGGAAGTCATATATGAAAAGGAAAAGGCTCGTATTTTTATTTTCTTATTTAGGTGCTTGGTAACAGGACATTTTGTTAGCCCTCACCCTTATTTTTTCCAAAATCCGGTTTTTTTTTTGGTGTTCTTTTAATTTCAATTATTTTTGCATTTTTCTGTAACATATTAACATACATATAATTAGTCGTCTATATATATATATATATATATACTGGTTTTTAAAAAAAAATCATTTTCTAGTTATATACAAATAAAGAGATGTTGCATGATTGTCAATTATAGACAACTATCCAACATAAAGCAAAAGACGTAGATGTTAGCTATAGGTCGCCGTACAATCTTCAACAATGAGCAAAACATATACCGTATAGCAAACTGAAATATACAGCTGCGCCATGAGCGCATGATACGCCCGTCGCTTTTTTAAAGAATAAAGTTCAATAACTTCTCAATGTCATTTCAGAAATTTATGAAAAACTAAAAGGAGGTTAGCTTAATAGATATAAACCAGTCAACAAAGTTTCATGAAAACTGCTCAAAGCACTTTAAAGATATTGTCCGAAAACTGGAAAATCACCCCCTTTTTATGAATAAAATCGGAAACGTAAAATCTAAAAATTTATAAAAATCGAAAGGGAGCTTATGTCAATAGATATAAACAATTCACCAACTTTCAAGAAAACTGCTGAAAGCAATTTTGAGTTGTCCGAAAACTGGAAAAAAAACTTTTAATGAATAAAACCTGAAGCAATTTTGAGTTGTCCGAAAACTGGATAAAAAACTTTTAATGAATAAAACCTGAAGCAATTTTGAGTTGTCCGAAAACTGGAAAAAAAACTTTTAATGAATAAAACCCAATAACTCAGAAACATAAATTCTAAAATTAATAAAAACGAAAGGGAGCTCATGTCAATAGATATAAACAATTCACCAAAGTTTCTTGCAAATTGGTGAAAGTGTTTTTGAGTTATTATCCAAAAACTGGAAAATCCCCCCTTTTTTAATGAATAAAACCCCATAAATAGGAAACTTAAAATCTAAAATTTATAAAAAAAAACGAAAGGGGGCTCACGTCAGTATCAGTAGATATAAACAATTCACCAAAGTTTCATGCAGATTGGGTAAAGCGTTTTTGAGTTATTGTTGACGACGGACGGACAGACGGACGGACAACGGTCTATACCATAATACGTCCCATAAATGGGCGCTAGAGATAAAAAAAAATGCGAAACAATTCAAATGAGAAAACCAATGGCCTGACTTTTATGACCTTTATGACTTTTTAGATAGTGTAGACTATATCAGCATCATTAAAATAAAGATAGGTCTGAGCCCTTATTTGTTGCTGTTAAGCTCTAGCGCTTTTTTGTTGTTGTTGAGCTCTAGCGCATGATGTTGATGATGTTGAACTCTAGCGCTTGTTGTGTTGATCTAACAGCATACAATTGATTTTATAAAGCCCGAGGGGTAAAAAAGTGTCAAGGTAAAGAAACAAGAAAAGTGAAAATCCTTAAGTGAAGGAAAATCCTTTCAAAGTTCTCGTGTACAAATACAAGGATATTGGTCTGTCCTTTATCTATTTCATTCCCTTTCGATGTTCGTACACAATCGGATTGTGTTACCCATTCGCTATGTTATGTGTTGTCCTCCCCATTAGATGTACGTATACAATCGGACTGTCTTACCCATTCGCTATGTTATATGTTTTCTTTCCCTTTAGATGTACGTATACAATCGGACTGTCTTACCCATTCGCTATGTTATGTGTTGTCCTCCCCATTAGATGTACGTATACAATCGGACTGTCTTACCCATTCGCTATGTTATGTGTTGTCCTCCCCATTAGATGTACGTATACAATCGGACTGTCTTACCCATTCGCTATGTTATATGTTTTCCTTCCCTTTAGATGTACGTATACAGTCGGACTGTCTTACCCATTAGATGTACGTATACAATCAGACTTCCTTATCCATTCGCTATGTAATATATTGTACTTACCTGATAAAAGAATCCAAAATGATCATTAAATGGAATGTCAAATATATGTAATAACTGTTTAACTGATGCCAGTAAGGGATCTGTATATCCCCAAAGAAGATCTTTCACTGAATGTTTTACAAACAGATCCGCATCTTGTGAAATTTCAAAAAACAGTTTTGCCATCTCTCGAATGAATGCATATTCATTTGACACTAAGGTGGTTGCAGTCTGAAACAAGAATAACTGTTTTAACAAGTACACAATAATACTTGACACTAGGGTGGTCGCAGATCGAAACAAGAAGTACTGTTTAATCAAGTACATAATATAACTGGACACTAGGGTGGCCGCGGTCTGAAACAGCTGTCTGAAACAAGAATTATTGTTTCATCAACTACATTATATCACTTGACACTAGGTTGGCCGCAGTTTGAAACAAGAATTATTGTTTAATCAAGTACATAATATTACATGAAACTAGAGTGGTCGCAGATCGAAACAAGAATTACTATATTTAATCAAGTACATAATATTACTTGACATCAGAATAGTCGCAGTCTGAAACACCAGTCTGAAACTAGAATTGTTGTTTCATCAAGTATATGATATCACTTGACACTCAGGTGGTCGCAATATGAAACAAGAATTACTGTTATCAAGTACACGATATCATTTGACACTAGGATGGTCGCAGTCTGAATCAATAATTACTGTTTAATCAAGTACATCATAGTTACGCCTCTCTATTTGATCATTACTTTAGTATCCTACACTAATGATGTCACAAGTGGAGTGGGAACGCTCCGGGGCACCTGTTACGCCTCTTTATTTGATCATTACGTTAGTATACTACACTGAGGGTGTCACCAGTGGAGTGGGAACGCTCCAGGGCACCTGTTACGCCTCTCTATTTGATCATTACGTTAGTATCCTACACTGAGGGTGTCACCAGTGGAGTGGGAACGCTCCTGGGCACCTGTTACGCCTCTCTATTTGATCATTACGTTAGTATCCTACACTAAGGGTGTCACCAGTGGAGTGGGAACATTCCGGGGCACCTGTTACGCCTCTCTATTTGATCATTACGTTAGTATCCTACACTGAGGGTGTCACCAGTGGAGTGGGAACGCTCCTGGGCACCTGTTACGCTTCTCTATTTGATCATTACGTTAGTATCCTACACTGAGGGCGTTACCAGTGGAGTTGGAACGCTCCGGGGCACCTGTTACGCCTCTCTATTTGATCATTACGTTAGTATCCTACACTGAGGGTGTCACCAGTGGAGTGGGAACGCTCCGGGCCACCTGTTACGCTTCTCTATTTGATCATTACGTTAGTATCCTACACTGAGGGTGTCACCAGTGGAGTGGGAACGCTCCTGGGCACCTGTTACGCCTCTCTATTTGATCATTACGTTAGTATCCTACACTAAAGGTGTCATCAGTGGAGTGGGAACGCTCCTGGGCACCTGTTACGCCTCTCTATTTGATCATTACGTTAGTATCCTACACTGAGGGTGTCACCAGTGGAGTGGGAACGCTCCGGGGCACCTGTTACGCCTCTCTATTTGATCATTACGTTAGTATCCTACACTAAGGGTGTCACCAGTGAAGTGGCTAGGATCTAAAGAATGTTCAATTCACAATACTGTGTGTTTTAATTATCAAAGGTAGTGATAAGGTTGGAAGATATAGATATCAAGCCAGACAAATAAGGATTTTGATTGCATGAATGCAATCGTTACCCCAAAAACACAAAACTTAACATTAACAAATGAGCCATGAAAATGAGGTGAAGGTCACATTAGACCTGCCAGAATGACATGTACACCTTACAATCATTCCATACACCACATATAGTTGACCTACTGCTTATAGTATTTTTAGACCCCGTTCACACTTTGACAATTAGATCGATTTAAACTAGATCTGTTCACTTCAGATCGATTTAAGTCAAATGTGAACGCTTTGAATCGATCTTGAATTGGTCTAAACTATAACACTTATTTTAGTTTGATCTAAAGTGAACCGATCTAACATTAAATGTGAACGCACAGATCGATATAAACTGGTACGATTGAATCGAAAATAGTTTGTGCGTATGTATGGCGGCAAATGTACACGTGCAATTCATTACAAATGGATAACCAACATAAAAGGGCTGAAAATTAACGAAAACTATACGAACAGCAGTATCTACATTTTAACTTGTAATTCAAGTGAAACAATAACTTCATCCATTATTTTTTTTGCATGCATGTGTATCAATACATTAATTTGATTAAATATTTCTATTTATACAGTGTTGACAATTTCACGGTTAATAAGGGCAGATCGATTGCATTTTTATTTGTAGTGTGAACGCGCGCAGTGGTTCAGACTAGACCGATAGTGATCGTTAGGATTAAAAATAATGTGAACGCTAACTGGTTTTATTTAGATCGATTCAAATTTAGATCGATTAATAAAATGTTAGTGTGAACGGGGTCTAAGTGAAACGGTCCTAATCACGATACTTTAACCATTGATCACTGATCCATGAAATGAGGTCGAAGTCATGGGAATCCGGCTGTCTGACGGACATGTAGACCTTGCAAGGAACCCATATACCAAATATAGTTATCCTATTACTCATAATTAGTGAGAATTTCACATGACAAAAAAAAACTGTACATTTTTTTATGCAGTCGCTGAACCATGAAAATGAGGTCAAGGACAATAGACAACTGACAGACCGAAACTTCATAGCATTAGGATTCTATATTCAAGGATTGAAGCACCCGGTCTTCTTCCCTATAAAATATAAAGCTTTATAAACATAGTTTACCACGCGACGACGCCGGATTGTAATCCTTATTGCACCCGTGTAAATTAGTGATGTTATGATTGGTGTAACACCGTCACGTGGTGACCCACTATGGATCCGTATGGGGTCAGTAGATTTCATATGGGGTTAATAACGTCACATTTACTATTAATGGTGACGTCGTCGATTAATGTTATTGTATTTCATTGCTTATTTTTATACATAACTTTATAGTAGGTCCGTGTGCGATATGTTCGTTATACGATTCACCACTGACCCCCTACGGATCCATTGAGGGTGAGTATAATCCATAGTCCTTCGACCTCACCCTCTATAGATTTTACTAACCCTCTATGGATCCGTATGGGGTCAGCAGCTAACCATATAACTTATATTATTGCACCCCGGGTAAATTAGTGATTGGTGTAATGCCGTCACGTGGTGACCCCCTATGGATCCATATGGGGTCAGTAATTTTCATTCTTATAGGGTTCATGACGTCACGTCTACTATTAATGGCGACGTCATCTAATAATGTAATTGTATTTCATTGTTTATTTGTATACAAAATTTGCCATGAAAAATCCCGTCCGCGATAAATTCAATATACGGTTCACCACTAACCCCCACGGCTCCATAGAGGGTTAGTAAAAACCATAAGAGATTCGGCCTTCGGCCTCACCCCCTATGAATTTAATAACCCTCTATGGATTCGTATGGGGTCAGTAGCAAACCATGTTTACCGATTATCAGGTTGTCTGCATATTGATATTGTAAAATTGAGAATGGAAATTCGGAATGTGTCAAAGAGACAACAACCCGACCAAAGAGCAAAAAACAGCCGAAGGCCACCAATGGGTCTTCAACACAGCGAGAAAATCCCGCACCCGGAGGCGGGCTTCAGCTGGCCCCTAAACAAAAATGTGTACTAGTGGAGTGAAAATGGACGTCATACTAAACTCAAAAACATATAAATGAACTAAAATTAAAAATCATACAAGACTAACAAGGCCCAGAGGCTCCTGACTTGGGATAGGTGCAAAAATGCGGCGGGGTTAAACATGTTTAGTGAGATCTCAACCCTCCCCATATACCTCTAGCCAATGTAGAAAAAACAAACACACAGCATTACGCACATTAAAACTCAGTTTAAAAGAAGCCGGAGTCCAATGTCAGAATAATATAAATTAACAAAGGACTACTAGCAGTTACAGTAACTGACATGTCAGCTCCAGACCTCAATTAAACTGATTGAAAGATCATGTCTTCATCATATGAAAATCAAGCACAATCCCTCTCGTTAGGGGTTTAGTATCATACTAATAAAGTATCATAAAATATATGAGAAGAACATAACCTGTATCATGCCAAAACTGGTTTAAGAATAAATGTGTTTATTTCCGATGCAAAGACCCTATGAGTGAATCAATATTAATACCAAAATATGCCATCTTTAATGACCTGACAACAGTATCGTAACTATATCCCTTCTGAATAAGTCTGTTTAAAGGTTTGGTTAGCTTTTGAGGTGAATGCCGACATTTTTGTGCTTTGTATAGAATATTACCATAAAAGATTGGATGTGAAATACCTGAACGTATTAGATGTCTGCATGTTGATTTATATTTACGAATGATGTCCTTGTACCGATCATAAAATTTGGTAAATGTTTTGACTAGTTTGTGATAACGAAAAATATCTGGTGCGAGTCACTATATGAAGTTTTTTTTCAACAAGGGTTCATATTGTGTCTAGCAGCTGACTTTTTACAATATCAATATGCAGACAACCTGATAATCGATTTATCGGACTGTTTTTGTGTATTTTCATGATAGAAACAAGTGTTTTGCTTTGTGTCACCAGCTAACCGGAAGACGACGTGATAAGTTTGGGTCAATCAGCGTCGGTTCATTCATTATGACGTCGGTGATATACATGTCCGGGTCAAAGTTATTAAGGTCAGGTCAACGTATTTGACGTCAAAAAGCCGTGATATGCAATTTTATTAAGAGCAGAGCAGAGTGATACAGACAGTGGCAACACCGATAAAACTTATTATATGTCTCTAATTCTGTCACTTTCGTCGAAGGTGAGTCATAAGCCGAAAAACAGCCTTTTTAGCACAGTATATTCGTTTTTTGTTTTTCAACAATTTGAAATCCATTTTTTATAGGTATCATATACTATTAAAAAAAAAGAAACGCATAGCTCGGATGAATTTTTCAAAATGCAAAATATATATTTTACAAGGTAAAATGAAACGGTCAATTGCATTTTCGAATTTTTACAGGCAAGTTTTAAACTTTAAATGCCCGTTCTTTTGATTTGCTCTCTGCCACGTGAAATTTGCGACTCGCTAAAAATGCATATGACCTTTTTTGCCGCGAAATTTTGCTAACGTTTTTCACGAGAATTTTGTGGTCAGCTCAACTGTTACACTTTTGCGCATATATAAGGACCAAGTTTGAAGATTTAATTCACAGTGTCAACGTTAAAACGCTGCCATGTCAAAGTTGGACCCTGCTATTCGAAATATCGCCATCTGCCGTCTCCAGGCCGGAATGTCCCAAAGTGAAGTAGCAAGAACTGAAAATGTTAACCAGAGCACAATTTCGCGACTTTGGAACAGATACCAGCAGACTGGCTGTACTAAGGATCGCCAGACGAGTGGACGACCTCGCTTAACGAATCCTGGACAAGATCGCTACATCTGGGTATTTCATCTACGGAATCGAACCGTTGCCGCAACAGCTACTGCAGTTGGGATACCAAGATTGAGAAGAATCAGCTCACAAACAGTCCGCAATCGACTGCGACAACATAGCATTAGACCAAGGAGGCAGTATTTTGGACCCGTTTTGAGGCCGTTAACAGACGGAATAGAGTCCGATGGTGCAACAGATTGAGGGGTTGATCATTCCGCAACTATCGCAGAATCTGGTTCAGTGATGATTCCCGTTTTATGGAAGAACTCGTGTCTACCGGCGCATGAATGAACGTTTTGCTTCCTCGTGTGTCCAAGAAGTGGACAGCTTCGGTGGAGGAAGTCTCATGATGTGGGCGGCTATCTCTAATGTCCGTAAAGCGGAATTGGTACATGTTCCGTGTAATTTAACGGCTCAAAGGTACAGAGACGAAATTCTCCAACCTCATCTTATGCATGTTATTGACCGACAAAGCTTAAGGGAGTTATTCCAGCAGGACAATGCTAGGCCTCGCACAGCGCGTTTAACAAAGGACTACTTTGAGCAGAATAACATCAATGTGCTACCTTGGGCTTCCAAATCACTGGACTTGAATCTTATTTAGCATCTATGGGACCAACTGGGTAAACGTCTGCGCCAGCGTCAAACCCCGCCTCAGACCCTTGATCAGCTCCGACAAATGTTGCAACAGAAATGGCGAGCAATTCCACGCAACAACATTAGAACATTGATAGCATCCATGCCGAGGAGATGCTTGGCAGTCTTAGCAGCGAGAGGTGGTCATACACGGTACTAACTTTAATGGCACCGGAAGTAACTCTAATTGTGATAAATTGACTTTTCAATCTCGAAGGAATTGACTGTCCTCTTCTAAATCAAACACGTTTTGAGTGAATATCTTAATCAGTAATTGTAAAATTTCCATTTAAAATACATGTTTTAAAATTCTTAAAAATCCATTATGCGTTTCTTTTTTGGCAGAGTATGTTTCTAATGTTTCTTTATAAACAAATCCTTCGATTGAATAAATACGTATTCTTTGAGAAAAAATGTTCAAAAGCACATTATTAATTATGAAGAACAATTTCGATATACAACCACTCGTGACAGGTTTTTTTATATGTTTAATTATATTATAATAAGTTTCAATGATAGATAAAAAAAATATATTGATTTCAAATCTCAATAGCTAGCATATAAGACACGGCTTACTGCTTTAGTGCTACATGATCTATCAATAGATGGGAGAGAATATTTCGAAACAAGTCATCCTGACAAATGGATAATTTAGAGCTCTGCATATTATGTATGCACTTGTCTTTAAGTAAGACCGTTTGACATCTAGATGGTTTTGTGTCTTGGTGCTTTTTTTACGTGTACCCTACATATCCCATTTTAACCGCATCGTTGGTCTCGTGACAGCGAGTTCGTGGTGAGGTAATGGTTTCGATCCTCGTCTGGGTCAAACCAACTCTAAAGAAAATGTATTGCTGCTTCTCTGTGGATAAGGCATTTAAGAGTAACAGACCATACTGATCGGATTAGAGTCAGAATAATGTGTCGGGGTAGGGTGACATGTATATCTGCAACCGTAGTTCCGACTCAGCGAAAAGCTGGCTTCGTACAGATAATATTTGCCACTGAAAGTTAAAAACCAATCAATCCACATATATATCCTTTTATTCACATGTTCCTTTATGGTGGTTTATATTAAGGTTACATATATTATTTGTGTTAGTATCTATTAGTCTGTGAAGGTGTGTCGTCTTTTCCTCCATTTTGTATGCTGTTTTAACAAATATAAAAAAGGAGATGTGTTTCGTCTCATTTAACTATAACAGTGACCTTAAAAGGGAAGAAGTGCAACTTACAATAAGAGGCATATTTAGTGAGGTAAATGTATCATTTTCATCACCAACAGATAGATGGCGCTGGAATACGTAGATGTTTCTCTCGTTATAACTGACTGTGAAGTTCCTGTGGTGGGTGAGATTTTCTTTTATATCAATTAATCTGAAAAATGTCTATACTTTAATAAGTTGTTTGTTTAATGTTTTAGTTTATTGTGCATTGACAAAAGAAATTTGTTCCTGTACTTCTGACACTGTGTATTATCAAAACACAATAGTATAAATATTAGACAACTATGAGTGTAGAATTTTTGTTAAGTCTAATTATCATAACACTATACATGTATTTCCCTTGCCTGATGGAGTTATGAAGATTTGTTCACCCAAGAAATCAATTTACATAACTTTTCGAAGGCTGAACAAATTATCATATCTCCCTAAGCCAAGGGAAATGAATCTTTTATTCCACTGCCTATACTTTTTTACCTCCTGAACATAAGATATTATATATTATTATTGTTTCATACCTGCTGGCTTTTATAACTAAAACGACATGAACATTGTAAACAATTCCGATCAAAAGTTCATTATTTATTCTATGACAACACCTTTTTTTCAATTTTTTTTTTACGTCTGAAATAATTGTGAACACGATGATGACTATACTATCGCTAAAAAACGTTACAAACGTTATGTACATTGAGCGTTACATCGCACGTGGTACAAACGTTATGTACATTGAGCGTTACATCGCACGTGGTACAAACGTTATGTACATTGAGCGTTACATCGCACGTGGTACAAACGTTATGTACATTGAGCGTTACATCGCACGTGGTACAAACGTTATGTACATTGAGCGTTACATCGCACGTGGTACAAACGTTATGTACATTGAGCGTTACATCGCACGTGGTACAAACGTTATGTACATTGAGCGTTACACCGCACGTGGTACAAACGTTATGTACATTGAGCGTTACATCGCACGTGGTACAAACGTTATGTACATTGAGCGTTACACCGCACGTGGTACAAACGTTATGTACATTGAGCGTTACATCGCACGTGGTACAAATGTTGTAGTGTACATTGAGCGTTAAATCGCACGTGGTACAAACGTTATGTACATTGAGCGTTACATCGCACGTGGTACAAACGTTATGTACATTGAGCGTTACATCGCACGTGGTACAAACGTTATGTACATTGAACGTTACATCGCACGTGGTACAAACGTTATGTACATTGAACGTTACATCGCACGTGGTACAAATGTTGTAGTGTACATTGAGCGTTAAATCGCACGTGGTAGTCCAGATGTTCAGAGGGGAATACAAAGTTTTGTTCAAACCAATCAAATGTTGATATTGCTATTAATATTTACATACAATGGATCAAAATACTAAAAATATTAGATAACTATGAGTGCAGCATTTGTCCGTGTTGCTAGAACATTAGTGGGGCTAGACACATTAGTGGGGCTAGAACATCCGTTGTGCTAGAAATTAGATGCTGGAAACTGTCAAAGGTTGACGATCAATGAAATAAAAAAGGTTTTTTATGAAATAGATGTCCAAAATCAGCTACCATGCAGTTTAACTTTTGAAATACCTGTAAGTATATGGTCCTTTCTCCTCTAGCACAGGTTTAGCTCCATTTTGTACAATCTCCTCAGGATTCACTACATGAAAAAAGTACAATTGAAAATCAATGGGAATCGGTGGATTTATCCAATAGTTGTAAGTTTTTGTTCCCTTCACAAGTGGCATCATCTAAAAGTATATTAGTAATGGATATAAAATATGAAAGTATATAAAATATAATCTCTCTCTCTCTCTCTCTCTCTCTCTCTCCAAATGAAAATAGTTGGTACCTACTCGTGTACGACCAGTTGAGTGGATGTTGAACTGTATAATATGTTGTGATCTTTTTATCTAAGTAAATTTAACACATAAACATGATAAATGGAGTCTTCATATATATATATATATATATATATATAGATAAGAATAAGAGTTATCCCTCCTTCTACCAGCGCCTTAGACTGATGATTGACATTTTCCATAATTCTCACCTATGTGTCTTGTTCCCAAAGAGCAGAAAAGTTTCGAATGATTAGAGACATTTTGGCTATTGGTGTCATTCGAAGCAATGTGTTACAAAAGCAGGTGAAAATTGAATTAAAACTGATTTTAACACCAATGCATAGAGCTAAATTACATTGTAATGTCATGGCTTTGTGTAAAATTGATAAAAAAAATATTTCGAGTATACCAAGTTCTATCAAATTTCGGATTCTGACACCGTGGGCGAAATTCGCCGTACATTGACAGGAACGATTATATATTGCGTAGCTTACCAAAACAATAGTCGTACAAACATATACTTAAATTTAAATTGTGTTACTCGTCAAAAATGCTCAAATTACTTAAAAGTGGTGCTGAATCTAACAACATTTGATAGCCATGCACTCTCATGCTCAAGTACCCGTAACTGTGTCAGTGGAGAATTTCAAGTGTTTAAAAACGCATTCCCCGATTAAAATGAAGACAGCATTGAAGAAGGTTGGGAATACTATATTATTCATTCATCAGGAAAGCAGCATTGAAGAAGGTTGGAAATACTATATTATTCATTCATCAGGAAAGCAGCATTGAAAAAGGTTGGGAATGTGATATAATTCATTCATCAGGAAAGCAGCATTGAAGAAGGTTGGGAATACTATATTATTCATTCATGAGGAAAGCACAATTTTTCCATTATCATTATGATAATCATTATCATTTTAATGTTTATCGTAATATTGTTGTACCGCATTTTAGTGACAAATGATTGGTCATGTGTAGATATACAAAAGATGGGACTAAATTGCACTTGAAAGCTTTGTACTTTATATGCTAAACTCAAGAGTAGACAAACAGATGTAAGACAATAGATTTTCTGAAGAATCTTTTGCAATTAAAAGTTTTTCTTACTTCTTTCAGTTTTTGATCGACTTCCTTGTTGACCAGTGGTCCCAGTAAAATTCCAGAGACGAGGAGAATTAAACCAGTAACTCCTAATCCAATTATTAATTGCCGTTGTGATATTTTACAAACCATATTGATATAATTACATCGGGTGAATGACACATTTCAGTTTTGATTTGTTGCATAACTCCTCGATAACATTAATGTACATATGTCTTTACAACGTGATAAACTTCGCTTCACATGGTTTGGTCATGTCAAAATAGTATCTGGTAACGGGTCACTGCATTTTGGGATTAATTTAAAAATATTTATAAGTAAAAGTACTGTGGTACTATGTTTACAGGTCGATTGACCTCCTTGATCCAATCTAATAATGAATTATCCTTATGACAAAGAAAGAATTGATGGATGATATTGTAGGGTATTGAAACAGCAATCATCTAATTGAAATATAGATGTGTGATTCCACTCGAAAGATCGATCTTCGACGAGTAAGCCATTTTACTCAGATTGGAAACTGTAATAAACATTTTTTGTAAAAAAGAAATTGCTTCGCCGGGCGCAGCTGGATACGACCGCAGAGGTCCAACCCTGAACAGTTGGGGCAAAAATGGACACAATATTCGCGCTTGATACAGGTCTGAATTTGGATTGTAATTAAATATTTGACACATTGTAGGATTCTGACACAGAATAACTGTAGTCAAAGAACTTAGAATTGGTTATATGATTTGAGTTTATATTCAATTTTTTGCTTTTGTGCAATACACTATGCTGTTGCGTATTGACCCCCCCCCCCCCCTCCCCCCAAAAAAAAAATATGTGAAGAAATTTTGTTTTGTTTCTGAAACCTGAAATGAGAAAAAATTGTCCCCCTCAACATTCTTTCCCCCCCCCCTTTCCCCCCTTTTCCAAAAAAAAATTCTTTCCCTCAAGATATGGTCATAATCTCAATTCAAATTACAATGGAGTTTGCAACCATAATTACCCATTTAAATACATCATAAAAGTCTTAAATAGATAATTTAAAAGCAGTGTAAGGGAGGTAATCCAACATTGTACAACATTGTACAATTTTGTTTTTTAATTACCTCCCTTACACTGCTTTTAAATTGTCCATTAACTGGGAAACCCTTGTTTTTCCCCCTTTTTTGCCCTTAATTCCTAAACGGTTTGAGCCATAACCCCCCAAAGCCAATCCTAACCATCCCTTTGAGGTATGGAAACTTGTTGTATAATTTCAGAGAGATCCATACACTTAAACACAAGTTATTGTCTGGAAACTAGAAAAATGCCTTTTTGGGCCTCTTTTTGGCCCCTTATTCCTAAACTGTTAAGACCATAACCCCCAAAATCAATCCCAACCTTCCTTTTGTGGTTATAAACCTTGTGTTTAAATTTCATAGATTTCTATTGACTTATACTAAAGTCATTGTCCGGAAACCAACTGTCTTCGGACGACGACGACGACGTGATACCAATATACGACCACAAAATTTTTTTGCGGTCGTATAAAAACCGAAGCCTTTGTGCTATTCTCACAAGAAGAAACCTTGCCAGGGGGGGGGGGGATTCGTGTTACACAATCTTTAGTTTTCTGTGTGAAGTGTTTTTGTAATTATTGTCTTTTCGTCGTTTTTCTTTTCAGCCATGATATTGTCCTCTTTTTTTTTATTAGAAGTGTAATTTTGATCCTGTGAATTCAGATTAGGTGAAATGGTAAAACATTAAAATTAAAAGGCCCTATATAAAACTTGTATCATGTGAACTATATATGGCTTAGTACACTGTACTTATAACATTTATCAAAACTATGAACAAACATATTGTAGTTATTTAACAGTAGTATAAAAGTACAGCAATCGATTGTTCAAACAGTGAGTTGGCGTAAAAATATACTTGTCCTATATAGGTGATATTTACTTTAGTTATCAAAGCAATTCATTTTCTAGTGTTGATTTGACAATTGAATTTATCCGAATTCGATTGTTTAGGCTTAGATAGTATCCCGTTTAGTTAAGGAAAAATAGGTACATTTTGTAATAATGTTTCATTATAGGGACCTATTATTGTCTTTAAGTTAAAAGATTGTTGTAAATGCATCCACGAACCCTCGTACTCTTAGTGTTGTGTGCTGTGGATTTGGAAATTTAGAGAAAAGATTTCTCCTTCGATCAGAGTATGCATAACGGTGACCTATAGCTGTTAATTTATGTGTCATTTGGTCTCTTGTGGAGAGTTGTCTCATTGGCAATCATACCACATCTTCTTTTTTATATATAAGATATATGTGGAGTGAGCGGAGAAAAAAATTTCCTCGTTAATCAGAGTATGCATAAGATGTATGTGAAGTGAGCGGAGAAAAGATTTCTCCTTCAATCAGAGTATGCATAAGATGTATGTGGAGTGAGCGGAGAAAAGATTTCTCCTTCAATCGGAGTATGCATAAGATGTATGTGGAGTCAGTGGAGAAAATATTTCTCCTTCAATCAGAGTATGCATAAGCTAGATGTATGTGGAGTGAGCGGAGAAAAGATTTCTCCTTCAATCAGAGTATGCATAAGATGTATGTGGAGTGAGCAGAGGAAATATTTCTCCTTCAATCAGAGTATGCATAATATGTATGTAGAGTGAGCGGAGAAAAGATTTCTCCTTCAATCAGAGTATTGCATAAGATGTATGTGGAGTGAGCGGTGAAAAGATTTCCCCTTCAATCAGAGTATGCATAAAATGTATGTGGAGTGAGCGGAGAACAGATTTCTCCTTCAATCAGAGTATGCATAAGATGTTTGTGGAGTGATTGGAGTACAGATTTCTCCTTCAATCAGAGTATGCATAAGATGTATGTGGAGTCAGCGGAGAACAGATTTCCCCTTCAATCAGAGTGTGCATAAGATGTATGTGGAGTGAGTGAAGAAAAGATTTCTCCTTCAATCAGAGTATGCATAAGCTAGATAAGTGTGGAGTGAGCGGAGATAAGATTTCTCCTTCAATCAGAGTATGCATAAGATGTATGTGGAGTGAGCGGAGATAAGATTTCTCCTTCAATCAGAGTATACATAAGATGTATGTGGAGTCAGTGGAGAAAAGATTTCTCCTTCAATCAGAGTATGCATAAGCTAGATGTATGTGAAGTGAGCGGAGAAAAGATTTCTCCTTCAATCAGAGTATGCATATGATGTATGTAGAGTGAGCGGAGATCAGATTTCTCCTTCAATCAGAGTATGCATAAGATGTATGTGGTTTTGAGCGGAGAAAAGATTTCCCATTCAATTAGAGTATGCATAAGATGTATGTGGAGTGAGCGGAGAAAAGATTTCCCATTCAATTAGAGTATGCATAAAATGTATGTGGAGTGAGCGGCCGGTTCGTTATGTTATTCGATATTAAATTTGTTAGTAATTGAATAAACAAAAATGGGTATTGCAAAGAATAATATAACCATATTTAAACAGCAGTTATGAATAAACAAGACTAGTACTATCTTTAAAAAAGATATCCGACGCCTAGGGGCATATTTAAAAAAAAATGTCTAATTGATCATAATTAAATGTCCTTAATTTAAAGTAAAAAATCTGACAATTCTGAAAACTGAGCACTTAATTGTCTAACAGATAATATTATACATATTAAATATTCAATTCCTTGATCCCGTTATTAACTTGTTAAGAGTATATTCTCAGAGACAAGTGCCTGTGAAATTAAGATAAAATAAAATATATACAATGTAACACATAAAAATGTAAACAAAAAAACGGTTTTAGAACAGGGAAGAAATATCAAGCATTGGTATAACAATTAGAGACGCAAACCCTTTCGGCGCGTATAACGGACGGACGCCGAAGGGAGATGATCTTTTGACAAGTAATTAAATTTGCTATATATTTTTTGACACTCTTTTTTTAAGTAGTATGTCTTGTACCCATAAATATTCATATATCAATTCTTAATTATGTCCATCAATTTTGACAGCGCTTGCATGTAAACAAAGTTATTGATATGAAAACTGAAATTTCCTTTGAAAAATGTCATCGGAAGATATTTGTATAGCATTCGAGCTAATAAAGCTTCTTCAATTGTAGATATACATTTTTGCGCTTGTCCCAAGTCGGGAGCCTCTGGCCTTTGTTAGTCTTGTGTTTTTTTTTTTGATTTAAGTTCCTTTATATGTTTTGAAGTTTAGTGTGACGTCTATTTTCACTGAACCAGTACACAATTTTATTTAGGGGCCAGCTGAGGACCACCTCCGGGTGCGGGATTTTCTAGCTGCGTTGAAGACCCATTGGTGGCCTTCAGCTGTTATCTGCACTTTGGTCGGGTTGTTGTCTCTTTGACATATTCTCCATATCCATTCTCAATTTTATACAGAATTTACTGATATGTAACGGAATTAAACATTTCGAATTGGATCATGGCTATTTCAATACCTTCATTATGTTTATCTGAATTTTTTCATATCAAAGATGTGAGATTTTCCGTCCGTAAATAAGTCTATTTTTATGTAGTGTGCGCATATAATTTTGAATGGTCTGAATGGATACGTTCGTTAAAACCCCACGAAAAATACAGCATGGATGGATTATTCCTTCTAGTATTATTTCGACATTTTCCACTAGTAAATGTTTGCTATTGTAGTAAAAAGCTATTTATCAAAAATAGATTAATTGTACCATTGTTATAAGATAGTTTTAAATATAGATATCTAAATAAAAACTATCACCTGCTGTACATCATAAAATCTTAAAAAACAAACGTATGTTCGAACATGCTGTACATCATAAAATCTTAAAAAAACAAACGTATGTTCGAACATCAAAAATGACATGTTCGTCCAATCACAGTATAGATCAGCGACAACGCCCGAGCCAATGGCGGACAATTCGAAACTTTTACCGACGACGTCGGAAAAGGGATATGCAAATTATATTCGTGATCCTCACCTCTTCTTCTTTGTCTGAGTTTCCTATGGATAGTAAAAACTCTACTATTAAAGACAATTTCAATACGGATATCAGACTAATGTCTTCATCTGAAGAATGGTAGATTTGTGTTACTTATTGTTTTTCGAATTCAAGGGGTCAACGTTTAAGTGGCCTTATCGTAAAGGATATCGTAAAGGATAATATATACCGTAAAGGATAATATATACCGATCTTTCAACCGTCATCAAATTTGACTTAGAGTATGATAATATATAGATAAAAATGCTATACTCTGGGCACATTTT